CTCATTTTTGATTTTTTGAAGTGATGAGGTCTCACCAAGTTGCCCAGGCAGGTCTCGAACCCGCGGGCTCAGGCAATCCACTCACCTCAGCCTCCCAAAGACGCGGGATTACAGGTTGAGCCACTGAGCCTGGCTGAGATCCTTGAATTTTAAGTGCTGAAGATTTACCCCTGAAGTTCTGTTCCACATACTTCTGGGTGCTGATTGAACCTGCCCAGACTCTCGAGGGCTCATTAGATGGACGTTTGATAGTTTTGGAAAAAAAACTTAAAGGTGGTGGAGGAGTTCGATTAAAGAGACAAGTTAGTTATTGCTTTTCACACTATAGTCATGCACTGAAGTGATGTTTCGGTCAAGAATGGAACACATGACGTTAGACCCATAAGAGTATCATGGAGATGAAAAATTCCTATTGAATAGTGACATCGTAGCCAATGTGACATCACAGTTCAATGCATTACTTGGGTATTTGTGGTGATGTTGGTGTAAATAAACAAACAAACCTACTGCACTGTCGGTTGTATAACAGGGCAGCACACACATATGTACAGTACACAGTACTTGATAATAAGAGGCTATGTTACTGGTTTATAAATTTACTATAAAAAATAAATGACATTTAGTAATTTATCCTTCATAAAAACCACCAAGACATATGTAAAGTCCATTTAGATCTTTACATTTTTGGCAAATATTCAGTGCTATTATAAAACACAATTCCAAAAACAAACAAAAAATAAAATAATTCAATGTCAGCCCAAATGAAAGAAGCTTGATGTTTTATGGGTCCAGGTGGTCTTACTGCAGGATCATGCAGCTTCTGTTAGGGTTCAAAACCCTCAATGCCTCGGCTCAGACTACTGATCTGAAAACTCTTCCAGCATGTGATGGAAAGGTACCTAACTAAAAAATCCTGCTGAACTCGATTCAGTTATTTGCAAACATCACCCACTTTTTATGTGTAAAACCTGCGCATATGCGATACCACAACAAAACCACGAGGCACAGATATTTTTGGCTCATCCTCTCTACGAAGTGCATCTTAAATTAACCAAGCTTGGCAAGATCCTCTTTTTTTTTTTTAAACCATTAACACCTTGGCAGTAGGAGGAGCCAGCTGCAATGCTGCCAGGCCTTTTCCCTGAGGGATACTAAGTGCAATTGAATGGTGCGACATTCTAAATGTCAGCACCAAGAAGCCCATTCAAGAATTTATATTTCACTTGGCCAGGAAGGACCATGAAAGATTGATGACTGCCTGGACGAAAACTAGTCCTATTGCCTCAGTCTGGATCCTGTGCTGCAGGAGCACTAGAATTCTGCAGCATTAATAGTTGAAAATCTATCCAATTCCCAAGGATTCAGGCAACAGAATTACCAGAAACTGAAAATCCATTTCAGCTTATGGAAGAAAAGCCTTAGAAAACACCATGTACACATTTGTATGTTAGTATGCATTGAAAACTTTTATCAGACATGTTTATAAGTACTTGATATATTTTATCTCACTTTAATAGTAAAATCAACCCCATGAGGTAGGATTACCTTCACTTTATAGATGAAGGAAGAATGACTATATGATCCAACTTGATTCCGGAGTGGTACCTGATATTATGTTATAATCTACAATGCTTCCTTGTTAAAAGTTCAGTTGTCACTGAGCTCCAGCTGTAGGAAAGAGGGACTTTCTCATGCCCAACTTTCGCCACAACCTGGTGCTGAATGCCCACCTGGGGGCCTCAGTATCCCTCCCAAGATAATGGAATGCTATGCTGAATGGACACCCAGATGTTACCATGGCAAAAAGCAACTGAGTAGCAACATGGTCATGAGGGAAAAGCCCCAGAAGAACAGCCCTGAAACTGATGGTGTGCCTCTCATCTGCACAGCTGTGGACGTAGAGCTTGCTCACAGCCACACAGTTGCATCCCATCAGCTGCCAGCAAGGACACGGTCTTCACTGCCCAGGGCAGGAGGTGCCTTCCGCCCTCCTGATTGTATGGCTGTCTGCGTCACTAAACTGTTCAGCTTCATCCTGTAGCTACATAAATGTCTTTGGTGACATAAGACTCACAAGATGGCCAGATGCAGTGGCTCAAGTCTATAATCTCAGCACTTTGGGAGGCCGAGGTCAGAGGATTGCCTGAGCCCACGGGTTTGAGACCTGCCTGGGTAAAATGGTGAGACCTTGTCTCTACAATAAATAAAAAAATTAGATGGGTGTGGTGGCATGCGCCTGTAGTTCTGGCTGCTTGGGAGGCTGAGGCGGAAGGATCGTCTGAGGCCAGTAGGTGGAGGCTGCTGTGGCTGGGAGCCATGTCACTGCACTCTAGCCTGGAGCGATGGAGTGAGACTCCAACTCAAAAAAAAATTTAGACTTACAAGAGTACTGGGTGGGCCCCGAGCCTTTAGGGCTCAGCATAGGGTCCCCTGCATGTGCTTCCTGACACAACCGGTCACCCTCCAAGCAGCTCCCACCTCTGTAGAGGTGAGAGGGATCATGTTACTTTCATGTGTGTGTCTTCAGCACCTGGTCGTTAAACGGCCAGACTTTTAATCAGCAGCAATTATGCTGAAATTTTGTAATTACAAATTACCTGATTGTACATCCAATTTCTCTTTCTCCATCTTGTCCAAGGGTATCACAGGAGACCTTGCTGAAGCCCTAACCTACCAAATCAACTTTGAGTTGTCTATTGTGTTAGGCTAAAAATGATGCTGAGAAATTGGATTGTTTTGCCACTCTGGCTCTTAAATCATTTAAGGCTACCAACTTTTGCAAGAACCTAAATAAACTCCAGCTAATTTTGTGGGAAAATAAGTCACTACAATTCACTCTAAAAATATTATAAATCTAAAACTTCACAACTTTACAACTTTACGAAGGACCGGAAAATCACGTTTTAAAAATCTCAAAGGTAAGAAAGTAGCTTTAAAAAAAAGCCTTGTGTGGCTCAGCCTGTAATCCTAGCACTTCAGGAGGCTGAGGCGAGTGGATTGCCTGAGCCCATGGGTTCGAGACCAGCCAGGGCAACTTGGCAAGACCTCGTTTCTACAATAAAAAAAAAATTAGCCGGGTGTGGTATCATGCGCCTGTAGTTCTGGTTACTTGGAAGGCTGAGGTAGAAGGATCACCTGAATCCAGCAGGATGAGACTGCAGTGGCCATGAGTGTGCCACTGCACTCCAGTTTGGGCGACAGAGTGAGACTTCAACTAAAAACAAACAAACAACAAAAAAACCACAAAAACAAAAACAAAAAGCCTTGTGGGTAATTATTCAAAATACAAAAGATGTGGAAGAAATAATTGGATAAATTGCGGACTTTCATTCCTACTTAAAATGAAACATTTGATATCAGTCAATGCTTAATGTGCTACGTAGCAATTAACATCTGTTTAGGAGAGGCAGTGAAACTTAATTAAAGCACCGGATCTTCATAGGATCTTGGGTACCACTTCCCACTAAGAAGAATCAATACTCCTTGGAGAAATGGCTGATTCCAGAGCCGGGCAGGGAAGGTATGGGATGAGCCCAAGACGTCTGGTGATTGTGGGGATGGGTGGAGGGATGGCAGCAGGACACAGGAACTCAGCTCTGAGGATGGATGATCGAGTATGAACACAAGTGAGACAGTGACAGATGATAATCTGTCAAATAAAACAAACAAAACAACAAGCACGCGGGGGAATGGGCATCCCACCCTTAACATAGTGCTCTGATGTGCGTGGAGGGAGGAGTGTGGGGGCTGGAGCTGCACCGCTGGAAACCATCGCAGTGGAGACAGCTCTGGGCTGGGTCCTCCATGGTGCTTGTCTGTGGTGGGGAGGGGCTGTGGTGAGCAGGCACCCTCCTAGAGAACACTTTGTGGTTGCTGGGGGAAACAGCCACCCTACTAGAGAAGTTGGGTAACACCCCTATCCACTCCCCAGCTAAAACCAAACCAAACTAAACCAAAACCAAAAAACGCAAAACACACACAAAAAATTCACACTCATGGGGCATTAGGGTGTGATTCCCTGGAAGGTCACCGGGCCAGCTGCACAGTATTCTGAATACGATCTGAGTACAGTCATGACAACATGAGACAGACCCAGACTCAGTGTATATGATCCAGATATGGAGAAAAAGAGCCGGGGTGGGGTATGTGTATGTGTGTGTGTGTGTGTGTGTGTGTGTGTGTGTGTGTGTGTGTGTGTGTGTGTGTGTGTGTGTGTGTGTGTGTGTTTGTGTGTGTGTGTGGTAGAGGGGGCTGTATTTTGGGAAACAAAGAGTAGTTTAACTTAGCTGAGCAAAGAATACATCAAAGTGGGAGAATTACAATGAGAGAGAGAGGCTGAGGCCGCAATGTGAAGGATCTTGCATGTTGGCTGAATTCAGTCCTAAACTTTATTATGCGCAATAGTAAAGAAAGACCTTTCAGGAAGATGTTGACACAATGGAACACTATTCAGCCACAAAAAGAATGAAATTCTGTCGCATGCAGCAACATGGATGGAACTGTATGGAACTGGAGGTTGCTACGTTACGTGAAGCAAGCCAGGCCCAGAAAAACAAGCATCGTGTGTTCTCACTCATATGCAGGAGCTAAACATTGGCTCTCATGGAGGGGGAGGAGAACGGGGGTCAGCAGAGGCTGGAAAGGGGAGGGGAGGAGGGATGAAGACATGCTGGTCAACAGGTAGAAAACAGAACGAATAAGTTCTCATGTTCAACAGCACAGTAGGGTGATGACAGCAGTGATTAATTGCATATTTCAAAACAGCTAGAAGAGAAGATTTGGAATGCTCTTGACACAAAGAAGTGATGAATGTCTGCGATGATATATATTCCAATCACCCTGACTTACCCCCCACATGCATGTATCAAAATATCACTTGTACCCACTAATATGTAAAATTACAAAGCAGCAACAAAGGGAAGTGTTGATATGTAAAAAGATCAATACACAGAAAGAACGTTAACATGGTATGAAATATGGACGTCCACGATCATTCTTCTGCGCACACAGGGGATTGACTGAGTTCTGACTGGCCCACGCAGGGCCAAGCACTGCACTACTATGGGACAGGACAGACAGGTCCTATACCAACAGAGTTCACAGGCCCACAGCTGTGCTTGTTACCTTTTATTTTAAACAGCTTCTTAGTCTAAAGCCTGTCTGTCACTTCTTTTTCCTTGGTTCTCCACTGTAAAGGGTATATACAGCCCTGAAGCTCCTACTTTTAAAGGAAAATCCCATAAATCAACCACTTGACATGTATGTGTTGGGTGTACCTCACCTTGTGCTGTAATGTGGAGATAAAAGGAATCTCAGTCTGCAGGAGTTGACATCCAACTGGGGAGATAAGAAAGGTAACAGCCAGGGCCAGGTGAGGAGACTCACCCCTGCAATCGCAGCACTTTGGGAGGCAGAGGCAGGAGGACTGCTTGAGCCTGGGAGTTTGATACTAGCCTGGGCAACTGAGTAAGACCTTGTCTCTACAAAAGATCAAAAAAATGCGCCAGACATGGTGGTACATGCCTGTAGTCCCAGCTACTCTGGACGCTGAGGTAGAAGAATTGCTTGAACCCAGGAAGTCGAGGCTGGGGTGAGCAGTGACAATGCCACTGCACTCTAGCCTTGGCTATAGAGTGAAACCCTGACTGAAAAAAAAATAACAACAACTTTGGACTTAAAAGTAAAAACTGTAGGTTCCAGTTTTGGCTCTATCATTTGTTAGCTGTGTGGTGTAAGACAAACCACCTAACCTCTCTGGGCTTGAGTTCCCCTAGCCTTAAAATAGGGCAAGAGTACCCACTTCATAGGAATGCTTTAAGAATAAAATGAGATGTGTGTGGATTTGTAAACTGTCAGTGCTACACAAATGTATCTGCACACAGGTAATATAATGAGGCAAGTCAACTGGTCTGATCTTTGACATCCATCTACCCAATTAAATGCCTACTATGTGCCAAGTGCCATGGTGGGCTCCAAGGACAGTCTCTGCCATCACAGAACTGCTGGTCCAGCTACTGGACAGACACGCTGCATTGTGTTATGCCACACTCTCAAGGGAACACCGTGGACGGGGGTAATGGTGCTCCAAAATTTAAATTAAAAAACTTCAGGCTTTAATTATTGTGCAAGTTAGAAGCTTGTGAAGAATTTAAAGTCATTCCTACAGTAGCCAAAGTCACAGAGGCAGAAAGCAGAATGACGGTCACCAGGCTCTGGGTGGGAAAATGAGAGCGAATCTAATGGGCAGGGTTTAGCTAGGGAACAAGAGATCCTTCTAGAGATGATGGTGGCAGTTGCATGACAACGTGAGTACTTAATGCCACAGAACTGTATGCTTAGAAATGGTGAGCTTTATGTGAGATAAATTTACCACAATTAAACAGAAATAAGTAAGGCCATCACAGCAGATTTTTCTATGAGTACTCACGAAGGAGCAATATCCAGGTGGTTGATACTAAATCCAGATGAGCAGAAGCCTCCCAGCGTGGTTGATATGGTCAGGAAAGCCACAGCCAAGGAGTAATCACAGCCTATAAATCCAGCAGCGACCAGGAACATGGCAGGCCCGATCATGCCTGGAGGTAAAAGGCACACAGGGAAGGAAACATGGCATGAGTATGTGCCACGCCCTACCAGGATAAAAGGACACTGGACACTGCTGCCACCTGCTGTGGAGACATCACACTGCCCAGAAGACTCAAGTGCTGTGTCCCTGATGGGAACCTATGGTGGTAACACAACTATATTCAGCAGAAGGAAAATCTCCTTATGCAACGTGATCCCTTTGGTCTGCGGGTGACCAGAACCCAGGTAACGGTCCAGTGTGAGACAAGGCAGCAAGAAGGGACAGTTGAAAAGTCGGTTCCAGTCGGGCCTGGTGGCTCAGCCTGTAATCCCGCGCCTTTGGGAGGCTGAGCTGAGTGGATTGCCTGAGCCCGCGGGTTCAAAACCCGCCTGGGCAACTTGGTGAGACCTCATCTCTACAATAAATCAAAAATTAGCCAGGTGTGATAGCACACACCTGTAGTTCCAGCTACTCGGAAGGCTGAAGTGGAAGGATTGCCGGAACGGTAGGGCAAGGCTGCGGTGGCCGGGAGCGGCCACTGCACTCCAGTCTGGGCAACAGCAGTGAGACTCCAACTCAAAAAAAAAAGGAAAGTCGGTTGCAGAAAGGTGCCACACTGACACTGAAGTGACTTAAAACTCACATGACCAAAGAGGATAAATGAAGCCATAAACTGTTGGGCCAGATGAGAAAAATCCTCCATCTCGTTTCCTTTCTTCCTTCTCATATGATCTATAGGAACCCATCTTGCTTCTAACAGTTGAGGACCGTGTGTCGGTCGCATATGCAGTCAAACACAAAACAAGGAGGATAGGAAGGGACCGAGTGTGTGGGCTGTCAATTTCCCGTGTCTACAGCAGTGCTGTCTAAAACACTCTGTGATGATGGAAACTCTGCATTTGTACACACTACGACTGAGAAACTTTTTTTTGAAATTTCAATTGTATTTATTTATTTGTTGAGTTAGAGTCTCACTCTGCCGCCCAGGTTGGAGTACAGTGGCTGGATCATAGCAACTGCAGCCTCGACCTGCTGAGCTCAGGTGATCCTTCCGCCTCAGCCTCTCAACTAGCTAGGACTACAGGCATGCATCACCACGCCCGGCTAATTTTTTGTTTTGTTTTAATTTATTGTAGAGACAAATTTGCACTAAGGTGCCTAGGCTGTTCTTGAACCCCTCGGCTCAAGTAATCCCCTTGCCTCTGCCTCCCAAATCGTGCCTGGAATTACAAATAAAAATTTGGCCCCGCAAATATTATATTTAAATAGCCACATATGGCTAGTAGTGACTATATTGTATGGAGGCAGCCCCACAGAGAACAAAAGAAAAGAAAAGGAGATTGAATTTAAAGAAATGTACTCCATTTGCAGATGTGGAGTCAAAGTAACTGAGCAGTGGAACACGTCCTCAGCAGGTGCTTGCAAAACTCCCCTGAATAGGGTCCTTCTGCAGTTAAGTCACTCAAATATAGTCATGGGTCTCTATTACTGGAGACCTTTAAGAAGTTAAGTCACTGCCTTAGGTAGTTTTAAAGTTCACCTTTCTGAAAGCAGAGATTCCAGACACACAATTGCTGAATGTTCCTCTGAGTTCTTTGATTTACAGCTCTGCAGCTGATACAATGATGGTAAATAGTTGTGGACTGAAATTCAAATTGTCTTCACGTAGAAAAGGGATGAGGCTTAAAAATATTTTCTCTTCATCCCATCCAAAGTTAATTTTTTCCCTTGTACACTAAGGGCTAAATAAAGTGATTTATAAAATTCCGGGGGTGATGCTCAGCAAAGCAAACCATTTAAAAATGATTATAAGCTATGATAGAAATCACAGATTATACATCTTAATCCTCAAAAATGCATGGTTCAGAAGGAACCATCTTGGAAAGAAATGCATTGACTATATCATAGTGTTTTAAGAGGTGAACAAAATAAATGACTAATATTACCACTCTTATTTGACCTTGCATGTGATATTATGATGTAATAAGAAATGCGTCTTTGGTCTCTGCTCTGGTTCCCAGAACACAGCCCTAAAGCTCTTGGAAGTGTTGGAGTACCAGGAGTGTCTTCCAGTGCTCATGAGATGTCTGGCGGCTGGACCCCTGGACAGCTTCGGGTGGGGCTGGACTAAGAGCTGAGGAGGGAGGGGAGCTGAAGGCTGAGCTGGTCACCAGTGCCCAGGAACTTCACCCATCGTGTCAACTTAACAAAGCCTCCATGAGACACTGAAGGGCAGAGGCTGGGAGGCTCCTGGGGGTAACGCACGGGAGAGGTCACAGGCGCGCTGCACACAGCACAGCTCTTCCACCTAGCCGTCTGCCTGTGTGCTGTGTCCTATCCTTTATAATAAACGGGTAAACATCAAGTGTTTCGCTGAGATCGGAGAGCCATTCTAGCAGATAAATCCAACCCCAGGAGGGGTCATGGAACCCGGTTTATAGCAAGCCGATTGGAAATGCAGGGGACACTTGGGAAAGGTGAGTGAGGTGTCTTGTGGGACTGTGCCCTCAGGCTGAGCGTCTGTTGCTGCGTCCTGCTGGACAGAGTCAGAATTAGTCACAGGACACCCAGCCTGTGTCCGTGCAGAAACCCCCACACGTGCAGAGATGATGATGTCACCTCTGTGTGAGAGTGGGAAAAACACTTGTGTTTTCCCTATCTGCAACAGCTATAAACACAGTTAATAACTGTGTTTTTTCACAATCAAAACTTGATTCACTTCACTTACCTATAAGGCTAAAAATTCTGCGAACACACACAGTTGAAAAATTCCACTTTTCCCTTAAATTGTCAGCAGCTAGGCCGGACAGGATCATACATAACCAACAGCCCAAATAAGGCATTGCAGATAAAAACCCATTCTGGAAGGAAGAAGACAAAGATTAATTGGGATGGGAGGAATAAAACAAAACACATGGATCACAGCCAACTACCTCCACAGAAAAACAAAGGACTGCCCAGCAATATGCTGCTAATTCGATGCAATTACAAAATAGAAGTTTGGGCCAGGCTAGGTAGCTCAGCCTGTAATCCCAGCACTTTGGGAGGCCGAGGTGAGTGGATTGCCTGAGCTTGCCGGTTTGAGACCCATGCGGGGAACTTGGTGAGACCTCATCTCTACAATAAATCAAAAATTAGCTGGGTGTGGTAGCGCATGCCTGTAGTTCCGGCTACTTGAAAGGCTGAGGCGGAAGGATCGCGGAGTCCAGCAGGTCGAGGCTGCAGTGGCCGGGAGTGGCTGCTGCACTCCAGTCTGGGCGATGGAGTAAGACTCCAACTCAAAAAACAAACAAACAAACAAACAAAAAAACAGAATAGAGGTTTGGTTTTTAGAAGGATTCAGGTTGATACAGTCCCTACGAGCCTATCACAGAGAGAAACAAGACTACCACTGCACCTTTGGGATCTGGGCTGTGGGAGAAGACAAGTCTTCCTGTAGCCTATAGACACACTTAATGGTAAGAGATCTGAGCCAAGTAAAACCCTAACTCAAACCATCTTAAACAGGCACGTCCAACCTGTTGCCCACGGACCGGGCCACATTTGGCCCAGGATAGCTACTAATATGGCCCCACAAAATCTTTTAACATCTTATTTTTTAGCGCTTGTTTTATGACCCTGTGCATAATTCCATTTTTGAAGTTCACCATCATGCCTTATTCCTAACATAGCTTTTTGGCAGTGCATATATTTGTCAGCAACTGTTTTCAATTATGAAGCACACGAAGAACAAAAGTCCAGCACACACTTCTGATGAGCACTTTGAGAACTCACTACAAACGGCAACCTCTCCCTTCAAACCAGACACTGATGGATTAGTTCTACAAAAACAAGGTCAAATTTCCTACAGTTTTACATTGTTCTCATTTTCTAAACTTCATAATAAAAAATTTTTTTTGTTTGTTTTTTTTTGTTGAGTTGGAGTCTCACTCTGTTGCCCAGACTGGAGTGCAGTGGCCGCTCCCAGCCACCGCAGCCTCGACCTGCTGGGCT